CCATCTTTGGTTTGCCTGAAGGGTACCTCTCTAGCACGTATCTCAAGCCAGGTTCCTGCTGCCACTGCCATTTTCCCAATTTAGGTACTGGTAACATGTATCTCAAGCTAGGTCCCTGCTGCTGCTGTTGGTTTGCAACCCTTCTTGATCTTAGTGTTATTCAAACGGATTGTGCATTTAACCTGCCCCTTAAATACTCCCTTTTATGGTATAATAGAACTATGTTTCGAAAATGGTACACCATTTTCTTCCAGCCATTGGCCATCATTTCTTTTTTACTTAAACACATGAGGACTTATCTTGTGTTTGCACCGCCCAAAGTCGGTTTGCATTCCTCTGTGTACACTGATCTATACAGATACCTATATAAATCTGCATTCCCACAGATGCTCTGTGCTTGTTCGCAAAGGTCACTTCCAATTTAGATATCTCAACTTTGATTGGTACAGCATTTGTGTTGGTGTATTCTACTTGTTTCGCCATAGGCTTCCATATAGGTATGACCAGAGCTCTGGTTTGGTATCTTTAGACATACAGGACAGGCTATGACTTTCTCTATATGTACAGCTACCTTCTATTTTCAGTCATTCCATAACGCCAGAGGTGCTTCCAATCTTAATAAGGCTAATCCTTTGTCACAGACCTTCTATGCATGCACCGCTTCTCTCACTACTCCAGTATGTGTTACCTTGATATCATCCTCCTAATCAATTACTTCCCAAGTTGGATGTGAAGATGTTGGTACTGCTTCGTCTCCAGAGGACTTATATGCACAATACTTCGTGTAACAGAACCTTCTGTGATGCTGCTGTTACCCATAGTGCCTGCTCTCTGCAAAGTCGGTCTCCTTCTGAGAATTCCTTTTTCCATCATGTACTGCACTTGGACTTAACCACAGGGCTTCGTGTTTAATTACTGGCTCTTTATAGATTACAGAGGCTAAAATCTTTTTGATTTTGCCTCCAGCTAGACTTGAACTGTTGACCTTGACTGTGGGGGTATAGGAGCTTAACAATTAAGCTATAGGACCCACACCGCAATATTATTAAAGTTAAAAAAATAAAAAATAAAATATTATATTTCTTTTTTAACAAAAATAATTTAAATTTTATTTTTTATAAAATTAAATAAATTAACAAAGAAGCCAAGTTGTTACAAGAATTTAAGTTATCAAATATATTTTTTGTTTGTTTTTTTTTCTTTTGTTTTTAATATTCTTAGTTAAAATATAATAAAATTTTGTTTAGTTTTAAAATATTTTTTAATTTAAATGCTAAATATTTAAAAAAGTTTACTAAATAAATAATATATAAACTATCTAAAATATACTTACTTTTTGATATATTATATCTTTAAACTTTATTAATAAGCATATATAAAACAAAATTAAAAATATTATTTACTTTGAAATCAAAATTTTTAACTTGCTTTTAGTACTACTTTTTTTAATTTAAATAATTATTAAAAAGAATTAATAAAATTTTTTTAACAATTAATAATATAAATTAAATATTAAAAAAAAATAAATAGTATTCTATACAGTTTGTATTTTTTATTAATAAAATTATTAATATTTTAAAATTTTGATTAGATAATATTTGTTATATATATAAGCAAAAATGTTTTTATTACTATTTTATTCTATTTTAATTCTAACTTTGAATTCAATTTTTACTTTAATTTAACCCCAATTTTTATTATAAATATAATTTTGTTATAGAAACACAATACAATTTAGATTTTTTTAAAATATTTACTATTATTAATATAAAATTATTATGGTATAATTTAAAATATAATTCAACAATTCCAATTTTTAGCTTACTGTATTTGAGATCTTTAAATTAGAAGAGACAGCAAATATACTTAAACAATACTTTATTACTAATACTTTTTAAAAACATTTTAACTTTTATACTAACAACTTAGTAATTAATATTGAAACTAACCAATGTATAATTAGTATTAGCTAGGTTCAAGTTAATAATTACAATCAAATTATTTACAAATTCTCTGCTAAAATACAATTCTAAACATTTATTTGCAAAGCAGAACTAATAGCTATCCTTTTAGTTATTTTTACTACTTTTTGAAATTTAATAATTATAATTTATACAGATTTCTAATCAATCATTACTAAATACTCCAATATTTACACTACACTTTCTAATCTTAATAAACTCTTTAAATTCAATATATAGCCTATATAGTATACTTTATTAAATATTATTATATCTTATAACTTACAGATTACTTTTTGTGAATTATACTCTATATAAAATTTTAATTAAATATTCAATAAAGATAAAAGCATAATTTTATTATTAATATTAAAAAAAAAAGATTACCTTTTGTAAAGTACAAACTTATTTTAACAATACTCTTAACAATCTTAATAACTCACTTGTAAAATAGCATAATCTCTCTCTAGACTTACTCTTTAATTATACTAATATTTACAATCTATATTATATTCTTTATTAAAATCAATACTTATAAAATAGTCAACTAGAAGTTTTATTAAAAACATTTGCAAAGCTTATATTTTGGTTATGTAATTATCTTAGAAATACAATCAAGAATAGAACTTTTTTATCTCAAAAATAGATTGAAGATTTACCTAGTTATATATTAATCACAATCAAAAACTAATACATAATTTAATCAATTTCAAACTCATTTACCTTAAGTTCTTTAAAATTAAAATTCTATTAAATAAACTTTATACTTATTTTCTTTATTACAAAATATACTCACATCTATTCTTTAACACAAACTGCTTTTACTACAACTTATCTGACACCTCAACTTATTGACAAATATAAGTGCATAAAAGTAAAAATCAAGAAACTGATTATAGTAAATTATTAAATTAGTTTTTAGATTTTTACTCTTATGTATTTATATGTACTAACTCAGTCTTACTTTCTAACATTATACAAAATACTATCTCTAAACATATTAATTAAACTAATTTGAATATTATTAAAATACAACAAAAAGAACTTATTCAAAAAATTTTATATCATGAAATTTTTCACAACACATCCTTTCATTATAATTCATTTTATTTTGATATTATACTTAACAGCTTTATACCAAAATCTCTAATTTAAACTATCGAATTCTTCAATATATTCTATAAATTAGTATTATAAATAATTATTAAAATACTTCTTAAAATTAATAAACTTTGTTATAAACAACTTTAAAAACTATATTGCATAAACTTTTCAAACTGGAAAAAACAACAAAAATTTAAACCTTCATACTTCAAGCCATTAAAAAAACTCAACTACAACAGACAAATTAATTATATATACTAAACATATATATATTCTTGTCTAGATGATTTATCTAATTAAACATATTCTAATACTAATACATGCCTACCTATTGATCATGCTATTAGAAAAATTAATAAATAAACTATTTTATAGATCAAATACAATATATCTTTTAATTATATTCTAACAATCCAAATCTAAGTGAGTCTTGATTACTCTAGTAGTTTTAGATCACAGATAAATAAATATGTTTAAACTTTTATTCTTGAATGTAATTTTTTAATTTTTGTACTTAAAATTAGTTATATATAGTTAGCAATCTAACAGTTAACTCTAACTGCAAGTGTTAGTCTTGATCATAACATTTATATAGAATTATTATTTGTACTCAGTAACTTCATGTAGTTACTAACTTCTAAACTACTAATAAAAGATACAAGCAAGGCCTTATCTTAATATCAAAAAAAAAAATCAAAATATAATAAAATCTAAAAAAGAAAACCATGAATTATATTTTTGTAAAATTATCAAAATTTTTAATTTATAAATATTTTATATAATTAAACCAAAGATTTTAAGTTACTACTTTTATTATATAATATTTTTAATTTAATTTTATTTATTCTTTTTTAATTCTAATAATTCATTATTTTATTATTTTTAGCAGATTATTCAAAAAAATAAATAAAAAGTAATTTAGTTTTAACTTAATGTTTAGTACAGTAAGACCTTTCTAAGTGCAAACTCTATAAGTGCACGCACTATGTAAATTCTCTCTAAATGCACGACATAACTTGGCCCCAACTTATAAGAGAATTATAGATTTTGCTCTCTATAAATGCACTACCTCTTTAAATGCACGGTTTGATTTTTTTTGACTATGGTCCCGAAAGGGGTGCACTTATGGAGGTCTTACTGTATATTTAATTATTTATCTATTTGATTTTACAAAAAAAATAGTTTAATTGTCTTTTTAACAAGTGACTTAATATCAAATATAAAAAATCTTCAATATAAAAAAACTTTTATATAAAAGATTTTATAAGTTACAATTGAAAATTTTATAATACAAAGCCTTTGATAGAAGAAAATTTTGAATAAGAAAAATTACCATTCCCACATCTAATACGCATAAAAAAATTATTTTACAATGATGGGTCACTTAACCGCCAAAGTCACCTTATAAAATTTTAGCAATTCTTCAATGTGTGCCAGGAGTAGCTTACATAGTAAAATTACTCAACGAAAACTTTTAAAGGTGATTTATTATGCTGATTTTTGAGAAGTAAGCGATTTTTGACAAAACGGACGTTTGTTTCGTTTGTGTTACGTTACGGCTGGTCTTGAAATCTGATTCGTAGTTCAGGAAATCTGTGCCACAAACCTGGAACCAGTCGGGTTTATCACATGAATTTTGTGATATTTTAGAATTTATTAAAATTTAATTGGATTAATTTCTAAAATATCACAAAATTCACGTGAGAAACCCGAATTATTAAAATCGTGATTTCATGAGATGATCATCACTGATCTACATCACATGTGCGGGAAAAAATGAACTACGCCCTGGCCCAGTTTGACAATAGTAACACCGGTTATTTTAAACAATCCAAATTTTTTTCATTTTAGAAATCTTTATTTTCTTCTTATTATTATATTACTTTTGAATATTACATTATATTATTGTACATACATATAAATATATATGTCATAATGCGCATGTCATTGAGGATACAAGGAAAAAGTCCTGTTGATTTTAACATATCTTCCTCAAATGATAGACGACCAAAAGTTACTTATAATTCCCAAGATGTTCGGCGATCTGATAGACTTCGAGATAAACATAAACTTATCGAAAAAGAAAGAATCCCTCAACTTCCTGACGATATTATCCGTAATATATTTGAATTTGTGGCTTTTCAATGTAGATTCGTTTGTTTATTAGTCAGCAGAAGATGGTGTCGGCTCATGGTCCCTATAATTTGGAGAACTCCTTTTGCTACTAAATATATAAAATATCCTTGGACTGGTGGAAAATTTTGGTTATCCGATATAATTGCTACTTATATTGTGTGTCTCGATCCTCAAAGCAAATTATTTTTAAGGCAACATGGTATTAAAATTCCTCATTCTAAAAAACCTTTATTTCAATATCAAAACTTTCTCTACGAATTTCACTTGCCTCAACTTGAAAAAGTCGTTATCAATTGGTATAGTAATAGTCAAAATATTGATCAAGATTTGAAATATTTATGTTGGCATTGGAGAGAACCGACTGATCAAAGAACAAAAGTTATTAAACGAAGAATTATGCTTTTAATGACCGAAATTTCAAAACTTTTATTCAATTCCGCTTATATTAAAAGAACTGATTTTACTATTCAATTCAACAGTATCTTTGTTCCTCCTTTAGATACTTTTAATAGATTTTTAGATTTTTCCGAAGATATCACTTTTTTGAAGATTTGTAATAGTGATTCAAATATTAACTTTCCCGAAAACCTTCGTGAAAGTACAAACGAGCTTTTATGTTCCATGAATTCTTCTTTTCATAATCTTCAATATATTGATATAACTGGCCATGATGTTCTTAATCCCTTAATAATTTCTTTGATCAAAAATCAAAGACATCTTCATTCTCTCGTAATTCGTTGGGCTAGGGTCATTAATCCTATTCTTAAAATTTTGTCCTCAAGTACATTTGCTACCTTATCATGGCTTGGATTTGACATGGTGCACGCAAGATTAAAAACTTTTCAATTACTATCTGCTTGCAAAAATTTAGAATCATTAGTTTTATACAACGTCATGGAACTCCACGCTGAACCTGAAATTAATATTCCTTGGGATCTAGTACGTCCTCTTTCTGTTAAAAAACTCTTCATTTTCGATGATGGTCGATATGCAACAAATATTCGTCCAAGTTTCATTGAAATTTTTCGCATTGTTAAAGAAAGTTTGCAAGAACTTACAATAGACATTTTATATCCGCATCAATCAAGAGACATAATTAGTTCCATGATGGAAACTTGCTCAAATATCAAATATTTGGCACTTCATATCAAACAAATAGATACTACCGATGAATTTAATAAATGGTTACAATTTTCAAAGTTGCAATCATTAATTTTAAAATCAAAATTTAATAATAAAAATTTTGGTACTTACATTCAAGAATTAAGTGAATTTTTTCCTGAATCTTTAACTTATTTGGATTTAGACTCTTATATTACGCCAAAAGAATTAGAAGCTTTATTAAGATCTACTACTCATGTTAATTTTAAAAAAATTGGGTTAAATTCCACTAAAGGGATTACCGATGAACATTTACATATTTTAATGAAATATTCCGAATTTTACAAAAGTCTTGAAGAAGTCACTTATGATAGATGGGTAGTTCAACATATGAATAGGTTCGATAGGTTTGATAGAAGGATGATGTTTACCTGTAATAATGGTTTAAAATTTTCAGAGTTATCTGATGAAAAGATGGAAAAAGCTGGAAAATTTATTAAGGTTATTAGAAGAGAACAATTTTTACCTTTTGAAAATCCTTTAACAAAATATCATGATTATAAATTACCATGGGAATAGATAATTTCTTGGACCATATATTTTGGATTATATCTCGGATTATATATCTTGGATTATATCCTGGATTATGTACCTTGAATTATATTTTGATTATATCTTGGCTTGTCAATTGAAATAAAAATAATAGATATATTCTTCCTTTGCACATTCGGGTATTTTTTTTCTTTTTTTTTTTTTGCCCGATGATTATAATTTGTAAAACATCACAAAACTGATTAAATCTATAAAAAAGGAGTGTAAAAATATACACACTTAAATTTAACACGAAATAAAGTATAATTTAATGTGAGAAACGTGAATTTCTTTTTAGGGATTATAATATGAATGAGTGTTACGAATATAATTACGTCTGGACATAATAAAATCTATATTTTTTGATTTATATTAATTACATCTTAAAGCTTTTTCTTTAATAACTCTTTTTCATATTAGGATAAAAAATAGTCAATAGTAAAATAACTTTGTTCAAAAGTTGTATTAACGTTGTCACCTTATGTTAGGCATAACCTTAGACTGTTATTCCATATTTATTAAATAAGAAATGATTTAATACGTATCATATAATCAACTTCCTAGACTAAAGATTAAATATTGGTTAATCTAATTAATTTATTATCACTTTTAGTTTTAATCTTTGGATGAAATTATTTATTTCCAATTTTTAGTAGAGAAGTTATTATCGAATTCTAGTTAAAGTAAAAAAGTTAAATTTTCTCACGTTTAGGTTTTATTTATATAGGTTCTAACGAAATTTGAGATTAGTACACCATGCGTAACAGTAACTGCATGATTTAATGACTTTAACACTGTCGTGACACGAGACATATTCTGTAAGTTGATTTCCATTAATTTGAAATTAACAATCATTAAAATTAAAATTAAAATGGACTAGTTGATTCCATATACATATTACCCATCCTTTCTTTTAACAGCTAAAATTAATCACAAATCGTATAATACCAATTTTATTCTAATATCTTAAATTGTTCAGATTCTATACTAAAACAGGTAAAATATTAAAATGTACATTGTTATTTTCTATTATTATTTTGTTCTGGACAACATTCCTGATTTTACTGATTTCGGCAGGCTAAACAATCCAAAACTACCATAATTAATCACCATAAGATTACTATCACTTATTTACCTCTCGTATTTTCTTTCACACTCTGCTTCCTCCATTGATTTTATTGTAGGAGAAAAATGTATTCTATTAATAAATTGGTATTACAATAAAACATAATCTTATAAAAGTCTCAATATTAATTTATTTTGAAAATATGATGACTGATATAATTAAATATCGGCATTATTACTTACTATTTCAAGAAACCAAAAATTATCCAAGTTACAAAATTGTTTGGCCAAAATTTTTCATTATACAATCGGCTGTAACATATAATCGGTTGCAACATAGTCATAATGTGTGTTAATACATTTGTAACCATGCCTTTAATGATATGGGTTTACGGTTTACGACTACACAGTAGCCACATTAATTATGTAAGTCAACCATGTCAACAACAGGCCTGTCTATTGGATAATATGTAGTACAGTATTATGAACACACAAGAATTAAAGCAATAAAGTTAACATTATGAAAATTGACAGACATGAAGTAATAAAATTAGCTTACGTTTTATATTCGGCTTCTATATTCTCTATTATTTCTAGAATTGCTTGACGTTTTGTAGGTAAAGCGGCAGGATCCCATTGATCTTCATCAGTTTCTTTGTCAATAATTTTTTGTTCGAGTTCACTAGAATTCTCCATGAATGTTTCTATAAAGTGTAGAATATAAACTCCACAATCGACTGTGTTTAACTGTTTTGGTGTATTCACGATTGAGTAGGAAATTCTTACTCTTGGATTAATTGTTTCACCTCTAACATCTTGTACATAGTCAATTAACAGGCTTTTAAGTATGCTCACAGCACGTCTGTGTTTAAATTTTGGTGCGATAGAATCATAAATCGCTATATGACAATCAATTGGATTGCTAATAATCGCAGCTGGGTTGATAATTTGTACTAGATACCAATGCTGACTTTATTAAGAAAATGTGTTATCATTAAAAAAAAATCAAAAACTTAAAAAAAGAAACAAAATAAAAGTCCTTACTCTTCGCAAATTGGAAAAAAAACATAATGAAATTCAAGGAGGTCGACTTTGATCCACCTTGACATTGTTTCATAAACCTTGCTTTTATTTCTAATAAATAATTTGTTATATATTCATTTAAAGTAATTCTATAAAAAAACATAACAATATTAGTGAAGATGGTATTAATACCTGCTGAAATTATAGTTCATATCAGATAATTTCTGATAAAAGAATGAATCGAAAAGATAATATCTTTTTGCATCATTTTCGTCATTTTTACGAAGTTTTTCCAGGCAATACCTATGATGCAGAATACAATAAAGCAATTTAGAGAACATTCATCATAGGTATACTCATTTCACTTTGCAATGTTACCTCATATAAAAGACTATTAAGTTGTCGTTCAACTCGTCATCATCTCTTAAACGATTATAATCTGATCCCATAATCTGAATAGGCGAATAACCGGAACAACGATAAGAAAACAACTCACTAAAATGGAAAAATCAAAATGGATATTTTTTTAAAAAAAACATTTTAAATATGAAATACGTAGGCTAAATTGATTATAATTTAATTGCCTATCTGGGTCACGAAAGGAGCCTAGGCCCGTAGAATCATCAGATATAGTTTCTGTAATAACCAATTCAGGTGAATTTCTTGAGTTCATTATGAATATCACGAAGGAAATTTACAGAGCATAGTTAACGGAAATGATTTGTCACACAATATCCTATTTTTATGCGTGATAAGTTCAAAGTTCATTGGTCACTTTTTTTAGCCACAATCGTCAATTACACCAATAATTTAATGTCCACAACATTTTTTGTGTGATTTTATTTAAATCTTTTCTGAGCGAAATCTATAAGTATTGAAATAAATTTACATATTTTCACTGTACTGGACTACTGGACTACTGGACTTAAGTTTAGAATTATTGTTATGTAATTGAAGTACGTTGCTATCAGTGTTTTAGTCATTTCGGCAGTATTTGTTACTTTGGTAACATTTTATTAACCACTGATCGTACAATGATTAAATCACGTAATATAGATGTTTCCAATGCTAATTCTGATACGATAAACCGACGTAAATTTCAGAATAAGTTAAAAGTCGGGTATTGATGGGATGTTAGGTATTCAGAATATGCGATATATATTAAAATTTATATAAAGATTTTTCAATAGCTTCGACCTTTACTTATGTATAATTCTTTTCTAATTTTAGGTAGATGTCGCTAAAATTTTTGTAAAAACCAATAAAAATAATTATACAAATAAAGCTATAGAGTCATTGCTTTCATATATTTATAAAAATCCAAAAAAGACCGGATCAAATCATCTTTTTAAAGTGGTAATTCGAAAAAAAATTTTTCAATGAAAGAAATGAATATAACTTTGTTTAGTTATCTACGAGGGTTGATAATAACGATATGATTATTTAGATAGCCCAACCAATTTTTTACTAGTGGGAAATTGATATTAACGAGGGTCATCTATATATGTTTTTAACTAAAATTACAAAATAATTAAGGCTATAAATCTATCTGAATTATAGTGCGAAAGTAAAATTAGACCTATATAAAAATCATTAATAATATGATACCACATTTCCATGGGAGGAACAAAGCCAAAAAAACTCGGGACAGTCAAATGTACAACACTTTGTGTAGTGTAAGGTAAGAAAATAAAGTATCGATGTAGGGACGTTCATTATAGCTGTCGTTGTAATTACTGAATTACGGCATTATGGCATATTCCTTGATTATAGATAAGAATCTTAAATATCGAGAATGCGCCTATTGCGAACCTTTATTTCAGATGATATTATCTAATTATATATAGAACTAATCAGATCATAAAGATTGTATAATAAATAATTAAAATTCTATTAACAATATACTTTCCACCCAAATCCAAACTTTCTGACCAAACTAATATTTCAAAAACAGTATTAAGAAGTTTTTATTTACATATATTCTTGTATATATAATAATAGCTCTCAGGACCGGGTAATTTACTCGAATTGGTGCTAATATTAAAACATAAATATAAAATATTACTTGTATGCCCAAGTTAATGAATAGCTCTTCAAATTGTCATAAGACTAATTGGATCTCTTGCAGTATTGGTGACACCTATACTAAGTCAATTGATTAATAATACATTTTATTAGTGGCGTCAAGAGATCCGACTAATTTTCTGTCTAACCAAAGTTTTATATCTAACTGTAACTCATGCAAATACCAGTCTGATTTTTTTTCATTAAGGTCTTAAGATATATTATTCAGGTTTAATAAGCGCAGTTTTCCCTAAAAGTAATATAAATTTTTTCAATATAATATATCTTAGAAAACTTGAATAAAAATAGAATTTAAAAATTGTGAAAGAAATAACCTTTAAATTTTCATATTATCTTTATCACCGAATTTATTCTCTATTTTTGCATTTGATACTACGCGGATAATAACCTCTTCTACGTATCTACAAGAATTATTCAACCTAAAAATCCCAACAATTACAATTTGGGATCCTAATTCTCTTGCTAGTACTGATTGGGCGTTGCCTTTGACTGGACAAAGTAGGTAACTCCACTCTTCAACAACTTAAAAGTTCAACAAAAAAAAAGTAAAATTTTAGTATAGTATATATCCTATTGGACCTTCATTCTGTTCTGACGACTTTAACATATACGCCGCTATTTGATCGAACCAAAACTCTCTAAGTCTGATGAAATCTATTTCGTTCAACCCAAAGCAGGATTTCCACTCGTCCAGAAACTGGAGGAAAAATTAGTAAACCCATAACCGATGCTGTGTATTCATTCTGGTTACATAGAGTTGCTGGTGAGACTGGTGAAACTCCTGGTGAATGATGGTGAATGGTTGTGAAACTGGTGAAACTCCTGGTGAATGGTGGTGAATGGTTGTGAAACTGGTGAAGTTTTAGATAGGTTAACACAATATTTAAGATACGTATACGTATTACATATTTACATGCGTACTTATGTATGTACGCACGCTTTATAATAAAATTTTTTATTCTCTTGAAATGATAAAATTACCGAACGAATGCTTTTTCAAAATATTTAACGACTTCCAAAATGATTATAAAAATTTATCTTCATGCCTTCTTGTAAACCGTCGCTGGTGTAGAATTATTGTACCGATATTATGGAGTAATATAAAAGAAAAATTAGATAATAGAAAACTTATAAATACATGCCTTTTAGCATTAAATGCAGAAGAACAAGCATTATTAATCCCCTTTAAACTTCACATTCAGAATTATCCAAAACCGTTATTTGAATATACAACTTATACTACATCTGTTAGCAGATATTTAAATGATGGTATCATCAATTGGCTTACTTATAATGGTTATAAAAAAGATCTTAATAATTGGAAAAGTGATAAGCTTGCAAATGCTATTAAATGTTCTTTAATTGCAATGTTTCTACGAATGAATAAGAAACTAAAATATTTAAATGTCTGTGGAATTATTTATGATAATAATCTATTGTTTAAAAATTTTTGTAAAAATAATAATCTTATTTCTTTAGATCTTAATAATAATTATTCTAATTTCGAAGAAATAGCCGAAGTTCTTTGCAAGAACACTACTTTAACTTCTTTATATCTTGACGGAAATTATGTTGGCATCGAAAGAGGAAAACTGTTAGCAGAAATACTTTATACAAACCATACTTTAACTGTTTTAGATCTTAGTGATAATTATATTGATAATGAAGGTGGGAAAACATTAGCAAAAGCACTTCATTCAAACAATACTTTAACTCGCTTATTTCTTGAAAAAAATCATATTGGTGTTGAAGGAGGAAAAGCTTTGGCAAAAGCACTTCATATAAACTCTACTTTAACTTCTTTAGGTCTTTACAGAAATAATATTGGTATTGAAGGTGGAAAAGCATTTGCTGAGGCACTTTGTATAAATACTACTCTAACTTATTTAGACCTTTCTTGTAATCGAATTGCCTCTGAAGGAATAAGTACATTGGCAGAAGCAGTTCGTAAAAATTGTAATTTAATTTCTTTAGTTCTTTATGACAACTATATTAGTGGTGAATATGAGACCATGTTGGAAAAGATCGATAGCATATTTTATTGAATTATAAAAAATTATAACTATATAGTCACTACTACATATCTACTATATATATATATATTATAAAAGGCATATTGCTATTTTGAAATAAATGTAATATTATATAGTTATTGCAGTTAAAGTATACACTAATGCTTTTATTCTAAAATAATTTATTTATATTATAGGCTGGTAATAGTAAAACACAGAATAAAAACATCTTTACTATTTAACCGTATTTTAGGGGAAATTTACTTGAAAATTTTTGATCAAAATTGGTCTTGCAATTGCAGTTTACGTAAACCATAATATAGATAGGCCTAAATGAAATTCTCGTTGGCAAGACTAATCGCAAAAAATTCATTTCGGCAGATTTTTGGAATTGGGCCTTTACTTAAATCCTCTAAATTTGGGATTTAAAATCATAACTAATAGTAATTAAGCATTTAAACCTTTGCAGTGAAACCATTACATGACTATGTGCTTATATTTAATTATTATTATAAGACTTTTTTAATTTTAAGAAAATAGGTTTAATATTTGTTCATGCTAGTTATAAATTAAAACATATCTTAATGAAATAATTAGTAATAAGAAAGATAAAAGGATTACAATCATTGCATTGATTTCAAAGATAACTTTGATGTTGTTAGTCTTGTTCTAATAAATAATATCAAAAATTGATATATAGGCAGTTCATGCTTGCTCCTTTGCATAGCAATAAATTGGCGCTGCTCTAAATGGTCGTGCCTCACCTCTTGGGCTTGCTATGGTTGCTACCATACCAACCATTCCAACGAGAAACCTTGTATCCTTTGGGGCTAAAGCCACGGGTTAAACTAGCCCTTTGATTGCATCTCCTATTGTTTCATTTCTATAAAAGGTGAATTTTATTTGAAGAAAAAAGTGCACTAATGCGTTATCGTAGTATAAATTTATTAAATATATATAAATTATAGTAATCTTAGTATAATAAAATAATTGATTATTCTTAATAGGTAATTTCAATTATTATTAATAAAAAATTTATTGAGAATTATTATTAAAGTGAATTATTGATATTTAACAATTATTGGGTAGACTAGATCAATTTTTCATATGATTACGTGGTACAAAAAATTTTACATAGATGACAAAAATTCATTTTTAATAAAACTTTTTATATTTAAACTAATCTTTCCCAAAATTTTGTATTATATACTTTGAAGTCTCTTATTAGAAATGTTATTGGTTTTACTTGAAGCCAACTTTAGCTACAATTTGAAGTTAAGTCAAACTAATAGTCTAAAGTTAATAGCTTAAACCAAAATCTAAAATTAAGCCAAGCTAATAGTCTAAAACTA